GCAAGCCCCAAAACCCTAAACCCCTAAACCCCAAAACCCTAAACCCTAGACCTCAGACCCTAAACTCCTAAACCCCAAAACCCCAAAACCCCAAAACCCTAAACTCCTAAAACCCTAAACCCTAAAACGCCAAACCCTAAACCCTAAACCCTAAACCCCCAAACCCAAAAGCTCAACGGCAAGACGAGGCTCCTCAGCCTCTCGGAGGACCTGAAGGCCGGGATCCGCCGCTTCCTTTTTAAGGTTTACAAGGCTTTAGGGCTTTATAGGGCTTTATAGGGCTTTATAGGGCTTTATAGGGCTTTATAGGGCTTTATGGGGCTTTAGGGCTTATAGGGCTTTATAGGGGTTTTAGGGTTTCGGGTTTTGGGATTTCGTGGTTCCGGGGTTTACAGGGCTTTAGGGCGTTATAGGGCTTTAGGGGTTTAGGGGTTAGGAAGTTTAGGGGTTTGGGGTTTAGGAGTTTAGGGCTTTAGGGGTTTAGGGCTTCAGGGATTTAGGGGTTTAGGGTTTTGGGATTTCGGGGTTTCGGGGCTTAGGGTTTAGGGGCGTTGGGGTTTAAGGTTTTAGGGTTTAGGGCTTTAGGGGTTTTGGGGTTTTGGGTTCAGGGGTTTAGGCTTCAGGGGTTTAGGGTTTTGGGTTTTCGGGCTTTAGGGCTTATAGCGCTTTAGGGGTTTAGGGTTTTGGGGTTTAAGGTTTTAGGGCTTTATAAGGCTTTAGGGGTTTAGGGGTTTAGGGTTTTGGGATTTTGGGTTTGGGGTTTAGGGGTTTAGGGATTTAGGGGTGTAGGGGTTTAGGGTTTGGGGCTTTCGGGCTTTAGGGCTTCAGCGCTTTAGGGCTTCCTTTTTAAGGGTTTACAAGGGTTTAGGGCTTCAGGGCTTCAGGGTTTAGGGTTTAGGGCTTTAGGGGTTTAAGGGTTTACAAGGGTTTATGGCTTTAGGGTTTCAGGGCTTTGTTTTAAATTAGGGGCTGCATTTGAGGACTCTATGAAGGGTTATGTAAGAGGGTTTAGGTCAGTTTAGGTTTAGGGATTTTGCTTTTGGGGGTCCAACCAAGGGTAGTAGCAACATTGATAAGCATAATCATGATATCAACAATGCCCTAGACTGGTAGAGGTGATCGTGATGTCCGCCACGCTGGACGTGTCAAAGCGCCTTGGATGGTACTTAACTAATTACGAAAATTGATCTGGCCAGTGGAAAGCGTGCACTTGCAGGGTGTAAATATGTTTCACAGTTCAATTACCATATCGGAGTATCAGTACTCGTTTCATTCATACGCCATACAGCGTTGCGAAACTTTGTGTGTAAATAGAGGCTATGGAACCTCGTTGCAGCGCGCCCTTTTTCCAACATGAGCCCAGCGAGGCACCGTTTCAAGCTTGTTCTGGAGCATCCTGACAATCTTCCGAGAAAACAGCGTCACAAGCTGATACAGCAATCTTTAGCCCACACTGTCTTCGTTCCCACCGTTCGAAACACCCAGAGACTCCAAAACCCCCTAATTAAGGAATATACCTTAAATCATATTAGGAAACCTATCATAATTTAAGGTATATTCCTTAATTAGGGGGTTTTGGAGTCTCTGGGCATACTTCGCAAAGAAGCGCCGAGCAAGCCCTTCGCCGACTCCAGGCTTTTAAAGCCTGCGTGCACTTCGGAGCAGCCGCAGCAAGATGCAGCTTTATGCTTAGCTGTCAGTTCTAGCACGAAGCACCCTAAACTTAATCTTAAACTCTACTCCCAAATATCCTGCCTTTTCAAAGACATGTCTGAAGAAGTCATATAATAGCGAGCCCTAGAAAGGTACCGCGTAAACCTTAGCTTAAGCCGAACCCTAAACCCAAACCATAAACCACAAAACCCAAAGCCGCCCCAGGTGGCAGCGCCACTTTGGTGCTTTCGGCTGCGAACTGGTCCAAGCTGGCGGGCGTCCCTACCAAGCCCCTCGCTCAGGGTTTAGGTGTTTAGGGGTTCCGTGTGCAGGGGTTCATGTGTAAGGTGTGGGATGTTTGGGTTTCGGGTGTTAGGGTCAAGCGTTTTATGTTGATAGGGATCAGGTCGGTTTCGAGATGCAATGCAGGTGCATACAGTACTATCGGGCTTTTACCCCCTTGTTTTCGTTTAAAATCAGGGCTTCGAATTTTAGGTGTATTTTGGGCTGAGGATCTAGTTCCGTTTGGCAAAGCCACTTCAGAGTAAGCATGTATAGGTCATTGGAGCTTTAGTTGTTGAGGTGTCTTCTTGCAAGAAGTGCTGCAGCTGAGGTAGACCAGTATTTTCTGGAGGACGCGACATGCAACGTTTGCGGTCGCGGGTTCGTGGTTTAGCTTGCCTTGAGTCGATATAGCACGGCGCAAGTTTCATCACCTGAGCGTTGAAGACCCCAAAGTCTACACCCCGAACCCTAAAGCCCTAAAGCCCTACGGACCCAATCCGGGACCCTAAGACCCCAAAGCCCTAGAACCCGACTCCCTAAATTGGATGTCTTTTTAAGGGTTCGAATTCATTCCGCTCTGCAGACTTAGTGACAACATTGTCTCACAGCCCGTGTAACTTGTACCACTTGATGATCAATGCCCCCATGCCAGGCCCGGGTGTAGGCAGAGGGAGAAACAATAGAACAGGTCTGACTAAGTAGTACTGTTATTCCTTCGTGCCTGCGGCTTCCTTCTGAAATTTTATAACCTTCTAGAGTAACCTTTTGTTTTGGAGAAGAGATTCGGGGCGTAGGGACCGCTAACATACATACCGGAGCCTAGGTTCAGAGGGTCGCTGCCTAAATTCTAAACCGTAAACCCTAAACACGCCTCCAGAGAAGCATCAATGATTCCAAGAACCTGCTTCAAGGCGCTTATGAAAGCTATCAAAGCACTCTATACTAGCATCCCAAGCGGCTTCTAGAACCCGATACAAGCATGAAGCCCTGCACAAGCGAGATAGGGAGAGAGAGAGAGAGAGGGAGAGAGAGACAGAGAGAGAGAGAGAGAGAAAGAGAGAGAAAGAGAGAGAAAGAGAGAGAAAGAGAGAGAGAGAGAGAAAAAAAAACAAAAAAGACAGAGCGAAGAGAGCGAGGACATCATCGAGAAGCTGCGCTGGCGACCCGACGCAGGGGGCGAGCCCGAGACGTGACTGAGATGTGATTTAGCTGGTGCTGTGACCCTGAAGGTCCTAGCACTTCTGGGAACCTCAAGAACCCTAAACCCTAAACCCTAAACCCTAAGCCTTAAACCCTAAACCCTAAACCCTAAACCCTAAACCTAGGAGTTCTGAGACCTGAAAGAGACCCGAGGACTCTTTTTAGGAGATTCCGGACTCTTCTAAGGAGTTGCCCGGACCTTTAGGGTAGCATTTAGATCAAGATTACTATAGGGGCCTCAATAATCACCTATACTATTTTGGCAGTTCCTTCTTATAGTTATGGTATAACCAACCCCCAAAACCCTATTCTAACTATTAAGGCCCCTACAGAAGGTAGGGACCCGGTAGCTCTGGAAGTATGTGGGTTGAAGTACAACCATCTTGGTAGCCCAAAGTGCCCAGAGACTCCAAACCTCCTTAGCTAAGGAATACACCTCAAATTATATTGGGTTTAGGGTTTAGGGTTTAGGGTTCTCAAATTATATTGGGATCCCTAATATGATTTAAGGTATATTCCTTAATGAAGGGGTTCTGGAGTCTCTGAGTGTTTTTTTCCCCTAGGGCTCTATGTAAGTAAACAGCGTCTACTTGGGCCTTACTGGGCTCCTATATGACTACTTTCAGGGCTAAGTATATACTGCTTAGAGGTACCCTAAAACCCTAAACCCTAAAGCCTAAAACCTAAACCGTATACCGAGCCTTAGGGGTTCAGAGGCCATTGATGAAGTTTCAGGGTCAGGGTTTATAAGGTTCAGGGTTCAGGGTTTAGGGTTTCAGGGTTTTGGGTTTTAGGGTTCAGGGTTCAGGGTTTAGAGTTCAGGAATTAGGGTTCCGTTCAGTTTCTAAGGGTTTGGGGTTTGAGCGTGCCGGTGTAAAGTATCGAGCTTCGGAGCTGTCAAACACAGCCCCGCCGCTCTGAAAGCCAAGCGTTTCAACAGCAAACTGAGTCTAAGGGTCCTAAGTGCCTATATGGGGGATACTTGACCAAACCATAATACTAAATCCTATTAAGGGAACCCTACATTCTACAATATAGGTACTTAGGACCCTTTGGGTGAGTCGAGCCACCTTCAAGGAACGTCCGAAATCGAGCCCAGCGATCCTATTTAGGGGCCTTAAGTAGAACAGAGCTACGGTGCCTTTAGCATCTTAGTACAGACGTGTAGGGATGAAGCGGTCGAACTACTACTATTTGTTCCGACCTCTCTTTTTAGGTTCTTTGCGCAATGGCGGGGGCTCACAGGCTGTAAGGGTTGGGTCCATGTTCAGTCAAGGTGCATCGTGGGGCTTGAAGCCTGAAGCCCTCCAACCCTAGACCCCTAAACCCCTAAAGGTTTAGGGTTTAGGGTTTAGGGTTTAAACCCCTAAACCCTAAAACCTACAGACCCAAGAGCCCTATGCCTCGAAGTCGCAAGCCAGTACCTGTGTGGCCAAAGGGCCTCACAAGTCGAACTCGACGGATAACTTTTGGGCTTCTAGCCGACAGGGTCCAAGTACCCAAATCGCAGGGCTTTAGGTTTAGGGTTTAGGGTTTAGGGGTCCAAGTACCCAAATAACAGGGCTTTAGGCTAAACTCCGACTCTAAAAGGATTTTGCCTCCCCCCCTCCGGTCCGAACCGCTGTTCTTTGGGTACTCGGACCCTTGGAAAAGGGAACCCCAAACCCTAAACCCGGCTTGAAGATAGGTCAGGTAAGTAACCCATGTATATTATTTTAAAGGAGCCCAAAACCCTATTCTAATTATTGAGGCTCCCTACATTAAGGATAGTACGATTCTATTATAACAGGAGCCCAAAACCCTATTCCAATTATTGAGGCCCCTACATCAACGATAGTATGATTCTACTATATACTAAAAAAGGAGCCCAAGACCCTATTCCAAAGTGTTGAGGCCCCTACATCAACGATAGACCCTAAACCCTAAACCCTAAACCCTAAACCCCTAAACCCCTAAACCCTAAACCCTAAACCCTAAACCCGCTCCAGGCTTGGCGTTTGGTCGGACATTGACTGCAACAGGCTCCAACCCTTCGGTCCAGAATTTGCCACAGGTGAATTCAGTCGGTTTAGGCGGGTTTAGGGTCTATAGGGCTTTAAGGGTTTAGTGTTTTGAGTTTTAGGGTTTAGGGCTTTAAGGGTTTAGGGTTTCGTGTTTTGAGTTTAGGTTTAGGGCTTGAAGGGTTTAGGGTTTCGTGTTTTGAGGTTTAGGGTTTAGGGCTTTAAGGGTTTAGGGTTTCGTGTTTTGAGGTTTAGGGTCTAGGGCTTTAAGGGTTTAGGGTCTAGTGTTTTGAGTTTAGGGTCTAGGGCTTTAAGGGTTTAGGGTTTCGTGTTTTGAGTTTTAGGGTCTAGGGCTTTAAGGGTTAAGGGTTTCGTGTTTTGAGTTTAGGGCTTTCAGGGTCCATGTACCGACAATTGATCCTTCGAGGGGTTACCACATCGCTGCCTTCGGCGGGGGGGTGCCATGATAATCGATGGGTACATGCACCCGATAGGGCTGTGACCCAGCAACAACCTACTGTACTACGTCAAAGGCTGTAACCAAATGCTATAAACTTATGATTCTGGGATCGCGATGTCGCCGTTTCATTTTTCGGGGGCATGCCTTAAGGGGTATTGTTCTTCGGTCTAGGGTACAGGTCGTGACGGAGCCAGAGACAAAGAGAGATAGAGAGAGAGCGCACGCACAAATCCGCCCAGTGGCAAGGTGATCGACGCCTGGAGGGATGATCGTAGACCAGAAGAACCCAGAGACTCCAAAACCCCTTAATTAAGGAATATACCTTAAAGGCTTCCTATAGGGGTTCCTTAAAGGGATCTATAAGGGTTCTATAAGGGAATTAAGGAATATACTTCAAATCATATTAGGGATCCTATTATAATTTAAGGTCTATTCCTTAATTAAGGGATATTGGAGTCTCTGGGAAGCCATCGGCTCCACTCACCACCGCAAGGAAGCGCACCGGAGTGCAACGCGCCCTGAGCTGCTGGATCTCCATCCTTAAGGACGAAATGATCCTTAAGAATAGGGGTTCTCTACCCTTATAGTATGAATCCCTATATGGCTTCGGAACCCTAAACCCCTAGTAGCCTAGACCCCTAGACCCTAAACCC